CATTACATTTGCATAATTTATGAATAATATTTTGTATTTGCTTTGCTCCTATAAAAAACTCTTGCAATCTTCCGTTGTATAAACTTATATTTGAATATCAAAGTTATGACTATATGATAATTGGATTTAAGCTTGAAGTGCGGCATGAGTTGAATAATCGGAAGAAGATCAGAAGCAATGAAAAAAATATATATATACTTATATATATGTATATATCAATCAGCCGCCCCATTGCGAAACCTAATCAATGATCGGTTTAATTTAAAGCTTTGCCTTTCGAAACTTTGAAAGATCTTTTGGGCTGCGGCCCACGCTCTTTGATTTTCAAGCAATTTGTGCTTTTAATTCTGAAAGCATTTTGCTTATGCAAACCATTAATCTTCTTTTTTTTTGTGCTCTTTTGGTGTTACTTTTTAACAGTTAAAAGGGGTCTTCAGCATCATCATCATAATCATCATCACCAAAGACTCCAAATTTAAGACTGAAATGATATATGATTTTAAATTGTGGAGACGCGCGCGTTGCCAAAGTGTCTGGCACCGAGTGACAAAATATGCAAAAAGTAAAAAGAAGAGGAATAATAACAAAAGATAAACAAGAATAAAAACAAAGAAAACAAGTAAAGAAGACGATCGCCTCTGACGGCAGCTTGAAGTAGAAAACATCAAATTCTTCCTAGTTTTTTTTTTTTTTTGCGAAAGTCAGAAAGACGTCAGCGACAGATCGCTTAAAATAATTTAAACAGAATATTTATAAACCGCAATAGAAGATGACTCAAGTGTCTTCTTCGTAAGCTTATCATCGATTTTGGTCTTTTTACTCAAACCTATATGAATTTGCATAATGGGAGCCAAAAGCTAACAGAAAATATTAATTTTATTAGCAGTGGAATAGTTTTTAGAATTAATACTTTATTTAAAATTCACCCCAAAATGAAAACTATTTATAGTTCTCTGACCCGTTCAAAATATTTACCAATTCGGTTCTCTAACAAGTTTTTGTAGTCAGATCTGAAGTATTTTATTTAATGTTATTTAGTTTACATGATATAGAATTGTGAGTTTCTCTGTTACTATTAATATTTTATAGCTCTCTGCTTATGACTCTCTGTTTCGTTAAGATTATGTAGATTTGTCATATTCGTTGGAATTAACATATTATATTAAGCTATGCGATTTTAAGAGCGCTCTAATAATCTGCGACTGCCATTCTCCTGTCTAGTCTAGTTTGCTTTATGAAAAATTGTGAGAAACTCGGAAATCATCTCATAATAATAACATATACTCATTAGCATAAACATGTTATGTTAAGATGAGCGCTGTTAGCCACTCTGTAACTTTAACATAGCTCACAACAAATAGCTGTTACTTATATGTTTTCCCTCTCTCTTTCTCTCTCAGCCATTCCCATCGGCAACTGGACGCAGCCCGACATTGACTACAACGAACGCTTCAGCTGGGAGGGGGCGAACGATATGAGCGCTAATTATCGCTTGGCTCTGCAGCGCGGTTTGCCCTTTCCCATACTGACGGTGGCCGAGTACTTTAGCTTGGGTCGCGAGGGCTTCTCGTGGGGTGGCCAGTACCGTGCCGCTGGCTACTTTGCCAGCATCATGCTCTGGGCCTCGCTGGCCTCGTGGCTGCTGATGAATCTGCTGCTGTTGGCGGTGCCGCGCTACGGTGCCTATCTGAAAGCTCTGACGGGCGCCCTGCTCGTCTCCACGGCTGTGGGCTACCACTGTCTGTTGCCGCAGCGGCCGCTGTGCATATTCCTGGAGGGCGGCCGACTGGAGTTTCACTTTGGCTGGTGTTTCTGGCTGGTCCTGGTTGCAGGTGAGTGGGCCACTTCAGTTCCCTCCTCTGGCTTGCTCTATTATCTATTATTTTTCATCTTCCTTTGTCAGGCATTCTCTGCTTTATTGCCGGCGTGCTGATCTCCATCATTGATCTGGTCTGGCCGCATACGTTCTCCACTGTGCTGGAGGTCTACTATGGCACACCGTACGATCGCCATGTCATACTGGAGGAGTCGAGCGATGTTCGCTATCGCAAGCCGCGCAACAGTCGCGGTCTCGAGGAGCCGCCAGGCCTCGGCTCGCGCATCTTGCGTCGCCTCAGCTCCAAGGCGCGTGATATGCAGCCGCATGCCGCAGCGCCGCGACGTGGCAGTCCCGCCGGCGTCTCCAGCAACGGCGTGGAGAACAAGGCATTTCAGGGTGATGTGCCCAAGAGTCCGTGGCGTCATCCCTTCCGCCGTGCCCAACAGCTGCCGCACACCTCGCACTCTGCGCCGTCGCATCCAATGCATCAGCATCACCATCAGCAGCAGCTGCAGTTTGTGGGCGGCGGTCCAGTCGGCGCCCATCCCATGCACCATATGCAGCGCACCCTCTCACAGGACTCGGGCTCCAGCATAGCCTCCGCTGCCGTGCAAATATCACCAATGCATAAGCATGCCATGGCCCGAATGTTGCCGTAATTTCCATTTAAATACTATATTTATTTAATATTTAAATAACATGTATTTCCTCTTCCTTCCAGTAATCCGCCTGTGGAGCGCGTTCGCGATATGGATCACTGGTAAACCCTGGGCGAGTCCTCAACGAATTCTTGACAATTCAACAAATTCTAATTGACAAAACAAATGAAACTAAAACATCAAGAACAAAAAAAAAAACGCTACAAAACAATTTGTGATAATTTCTTAATTTAAAAACAAAGTGGAAGAAGAAAAGTAAAAAGAAAACAAAACTAAAATTTTATAATAATTGACAAGATTGCATAATTTACCTGACGTACTTATATACAAATTTAAATCAACGTAAGCTTAATTAAATTATTCTATTATATCTAAGTTAAACAAAATTGTAATTTGTAAATCTATCATTGAGACGTGATGTTCACTTGTGATAAGATAAGATAAATCTTCTGCCACACGACGGACACAGAATGCGTGCATTTTAGTTATATATATATATAATTGTAAATCTATGTAAATCTATACGATTCGTTAAACACGAATGAAGATATAGATATATATACATATATTTCTGTTAATTGTAAAATGAATTCCATGCCAGTGTATGTAACGATTAGTTTACTATTTTATATATGTAAAAACGTGTTTAAACTAAGCTTTTAAGTTGTGACGATGTTATTCAAGTATAAATATATGGAGAGCAAGCAATGCAACGATCTAAGCTCAAGACTACTAGAATGTAGAGTTATATTTTGAATATGTATATATGGATTTGTATCGAAATTTGTGCAGATTTCTTACAATTGCGCATGTAAGTATATCCATTTTATTATTTTCCCATGCATAATACCTATTCATAACACCATAATTGTGGTATAATACCATTGCATTAACAACCCTAATTTAAAGATATGCAAAGAACTTAATATTATGTATTTAAAGCCCTTAAAATATATTCTTTTTCATCTATCTAACTCACATATCACATTTTCAGCTTGGTATGGAAAATGCTTATGGTAGACTTAAACTATATTGGAAAATTTGCAAAAATTATTTTATGAATCATTTCACAATACTATCAGATCATGAATTCATGTAAGTAATTTTAATTTCTTTACGTTTCATAACCAGTTGTGGGTGTACCGCTGCATAACCTCTATAACCTCTAGTCTAAATTGAATTGATAGAAGTTATATATTGCATATACTATCATGATTATGTATAAAAATATATATGTTATCTGGGTCTCTAATTAAATTCATTGATAGTGTTTTCAGTAGTGATTAGAAATAAAATAATTAATATGTCGACGTCTTATCAACTGACATGAAAATTGGTTTGCTATAGCCAATATAGATATATATAATATAGGACAATGTAGATAACACCCCGCAAACAAACAATATATTTTTAATATATAATTACAATTATCATTTTATGTTCTGTTAGAATGTTTGTTTTTCTTCTGGAAGGTTTTTTATTGAAAAACTTTTAACTTTTTTAACAAACCTTTTTTGCTTTACATAACTCTCCATTACTGTTAACAATATTTTCCAGCTTCGTTTCAAATGTTCTATATTCCCCCATTTCAATATAAACTTTCCTTATAATTGTTCTACATCTCGTCGATACACTTATTGATGTTTGGCAAAAAGTTATTATAGCTCTCGACCACCTGGTTGGTGGCATCGACAAAACAGGCTTCAGTGTTCGCTGGCAGCTTGGCTATAAGCTTGAGGGCTGTGTTGAGCTTGCGGGTCAACTTCATGGTGGCCTCGAGGAGCTTCAAGAAACACTTGCCGGATGTCATTTTGCCATCTTCTTCGGCGGCGCAAATGGTGCTGTTGAGATGAATGATATCGTCGCATATGGCGATGATGTCCTTGCAGCATTTGACAATTTTGGCCACCTCCTTGGGCACAGCCATGCCGCAGGCATCAATAGAGTCCACGTACTTTGTGGTCGCTATCAAAATATCAGCAACTGTTTTCATCGTGCAATTGACACCGCGAACTGTCGTCAAAACTTTCATTAGAATTTTCTCCACTGTCTTGAGGAAGCCATCGTCGCTATAGAGTTCCACCTCCTCGTAGCTAACGGAGTTGGACTCGTCAGTGATAGTCTTGGCCTGAAATTAAGAAAATAATTATTTAATAAAGAGTATATCAAGGTGTGAGTGCGGTTCCCCAACTCACATTGGAGCTCAACAGGCAGCTGCCAGAGATCAGCACAAGTAGGCAAAGAGTTAAACTTTTCATATTGAATAGTTGGCGGAGAATGTGCGGTTCGCAAATCGAGTTTACGCTTTTAAAGAGCTCATCTATCTCTATGACTTGGTCATATCAGTCAAGTGGCTTAATTGCTCTCGCTGATTATTATTATTTATTAGATTAGATATCCATACTAATTAAAATGAAAATATTTCTTTTCGTTCCTTGG